TTTTAAAAGAGATATTGTCCCAGCTGTAAACCTTTTAAAATCAGAAGAAACCACCGCTGGGATTTTCTATTAGTATTTATGAAGGAATTTTCTAGCATAGAGCTAACAGGAGTTTACAAAAATATTGATCTGTTAAGACAAATTGATACAAGTCACTCTGCTTCTGGAGAGTTTATGTTCGATAGTTAAGGAGATAATATTTGACAATAAGTTGCGCCACGGAATTTTGATCGCACTATAGAAAAAGATCAGTTAGTGCAATAATTTTTCTCTCTAATTTGCCAACACTCCACATCAAAATACTGTCGTATATAGTTCGACCCACACGCGTGGAGAATGTTTACACCGCTGGTACTTTGTATCCCTACAGCCCGGGTTGGCTCTGACACGAGGAGTCGGGTCGGAGACTGCCTCCTAAAAGATCTGAATTGTGTCGATGCAGAAGTAAAACACAAGCATTTAGAAAAACTACCGTGAGGACAAAAGATCTCCAGGAAATGAAGCAATGCTTTTTTTTTTTTTTTTTACAGATGCGACGCACTGTGTTCACCACAATGGCCTTGAACTCTTTCTTCATAATAATATCAAAACCTCAGGCAATGGCCTCAGTGCTCTATCTGTTGTCTTCAGCCTTCCGCGTTCTTGACCCCCATGTTCCCTTCTAATACGTGACTACACTTTGTTAATTCCTTCAGCTCAGGTTCATTAAAGCAACGCCTTGCAGAGCAAGCACACTCTCCAAGCTTTGCAGGCATTCATCAGCAAATAAATTAATTGTAATATTCTACGTTTGGTTATTTTTATTAGCCCTTTTCAGTGACCAGTCACACACTCATCTATGGGAAAACCTTTCTAGGAAAGATCAAGAGCAGAGCATGTACTGCAAACAACGTTTCCTGTCTGTTTCTTGGTAGAAAAGTCATCTTTTTTCAGGTTTAGGTTCATAAAAGTCCGCTTTTTCGCCAACTTGTAATCTTCTAATGTGTTTTGCTTGGCCGACTGTCACTTTCACGTGCATTAAACTATTCTGCACTTCTGCGTGTCTGTTTGTCTGAGTGTCTGTCTGGCTGTTTGCATGCATGTATGTATGTATGTATGTATGTATGTATGTATGTATGTATGTATGTATGTATGTATGTATGTATGTATGTATGTATGTATGTATGTATGTATGTAAG